ACATATATAAAATAGCAACATATATGCTTCAAAGAATGATACATATCTAAAGATATATACTCTCTTGGAACATAAATGCAATAGAATGATGTTTACAGTGAAGAGTTTGCTAAGTAGAGTAAAAAGGAAGATGAATAGCAAAATGACAAAATAAAGAGATGACTTTGCCTGGATATTGAAATGTGAAGCACTAGGAAATATCATTAAATCCATACCCTTCACCTGAGAAAAAAACATATAAATCATATAATCTATAATGCCTAGAGTCTAGGCATTATAGTAATTTAAACAGAAAAAAATGTTAGACATGAACAAAAATATACAAAATCTCTCCTTGCTTTTTTACTGTCTCAAAACATGTAAAGCTTGCACTGTTTTCTTAAGGAGGCACATATCATTGCTCCCTCATCAGACCACCCCTCAAACCACTGTACCCATCCCAAGATACTCCTATAGACACAACTTAATTTCTATAAAGTCTTTGCGATCATTTTATTTATATGAATGACTTCTTGAAACAAATTTCTGCCGTAAGCTGTACCATAGTATGTAAGACTTAGTAATTAAATAACCTTCTATTGTTCTGTATTATGCTTTACTCAGGTTTCCTTCATTTGATGGTAACTTCTCAGAGGTCTGGGAGACTTCTTTGAAGCTTCCTTTTTTTTTTTTTTTTTTTTTTTTTTTGCAGGCAAGTTGACATTGAGAGAGAAAGAGAGACAGAGAGAAAGGTCTTCCCTCCTTTGGTTCACCCCCCAAATGGCCACTTCGGCTGGTGCGCTGTGCCAATCCGAAGCCAGGAGCCAGGTGCTTCCTCCTGGTCTCCCATGCGGGTACAGGGCCCAAGCACTTGGGACATCCTCCACTGCCCTCCAGGGACACAGCAGAGAACTGGACTAGAAGAGGAGCAACCGGAACAGAATCCAGTGCCCCAACCAGGACTAGAACCCGGGGTTCTGGCAACGCAGGTGGAGGATTAGCCTAGTGAGCCGTGGTGCCAGCCTGAAGCTTCCTTTTGTATCTAGAGTGGTGCTGTGCACATGGAAAGATATCAATCAATATGTTGATCAATAAATTCTCAGTTAAGACGGAATTGTGGGAGCTGGTGCTGTCTTGTCGTAGATAAAGCCTCTGCCTATGGTGCTGTCATCCCATATTGGCACTGGTTCAAGTCTGGGCTACTCTACTTCCAATCCAGCTCCCTGCTAATGGCCTGGGAAAGCAGTGGAAAATAGCCCAAGTGCTTCGGTCCCCGCACTCACATAAGAGATCTGGAAGAAGTTCCTGGCTCCTGGTTTCAAATTGGCCCACTTCTGGCCATTGCAACCATTTAGGGAGTGAAACAGCGGATGGAATATCTTCCTCTCTTTCTGTCTCTCCCTCTGTTTGTAACTCTGCCTCTCAGATAGATAGATAAATAAATAAATCTTAAAAAAAGCTTTGGGAGATAAAAATTTTTAAAAAACAAATAGATAAATGGGATCATAACTAAGGCTTTAAAATTATTGTTTTACAGCTGGAAAGTAGTTTTGAAAGTAGAGTTTAATAAAGGTTGTTTTTGGAAATGGAGTTTCTTTTAGAACTAGATGTCAGATATAGGATAATCAGGACCATACTGTTAATAGAGTTTTCCTCCAATCAATGAAGAAGATACAGTTTGCCTAGGTTCTTCTTTTTTCAAGGCCTCCTTTCCTTTTCGTGGTTTCTTCTTGTCTAGGACATCCTTGTCAAAAGAAATCTCCACATCTAAAAGGCTACTTATCTTTTCTCTGATTGTCCTAGACCATGACAAACCACTGCTATTTTTTCCCAAATACTTAAAGAATGCTGCTTTTCCTTCAATCTAAAAAACAAAACTAGTAAGAATCAACTCAGAATGCACTTCCTCAATCTCTTAAGGGAAATGTGTCTTTTGCTTTTGATGCAAACTATTATTTTGTGCTGACTACCCAATACATAATTAATTTGAATATGCTAAGTTATAATAGGTCATTCTGGTGACTGTGAGGGAAGAAATGGCCTTGATGGTAGAGTTGATAAACTGAGCTGTGTTCTCACTGAGATTCACAATCTCATTTTGCTGACCTCTGTAAATGATGAATGAGAACCACTTCTCTCTGAAAGGGAACCCGAACTTTGTATGAGATCCAACAGGAAGTTGAAGTTTTGAAACAAAAAGATATGTAGCTTGTCAAGTTCTTTTTACAGAGCATAAGAGATGTAGATTGGCTTCAGGGAACAGTGGTTGAAGGAAACATAATGTAAAGTGGAAATAATTATGGATATCACATAATAAGACAAATGTACATTATTTTAGCTTTTTCCTAGTTTTGTGATCTGGGCTAATACAAAAATATTTCTGAAACTCTTTTTTTGAATTATAAGGAGGTGGGAACATGTCTAATTCATATTCATCCATGAATGTTATCATGCATGATCACTTAGCAGGCAAAGGAAGATATAGATAGATAAATAGGTAGATAGATAGATAGATAGATAGATTAGAACTTAAGAATGTAAGAGAAGTAGTTGTACTTTAGTCATTTCAGTAACTAGTTAGTGATGACATGGATTTGAAGTTTAGAGGGTAATTAACAAGGGCCAGTGCTGTGTGTTATAGTAGGTTAAGCCTATGCCTGTGGTGCTGATATCCCATGTAGATGCCGGTTCAAGTCCTAGGTGCTCCACTTCTAATCCAGCACTGTGCTAATGGCCTGGGAAAGCAGTGGAGGATGGACCAAGTGCTTGTTCCCATGCACCCACATGGGAGACCCAGAGGAAGCTCCTGCTACTGGTTTCAGATTGGCCCAGCTCTGGCCATTGTGGCTATTTGGGGAGTGTGCCAGTGGATGGAAGACCTCTCCCTTTCTCTGTCTATAACTCTGTCTCTCAAATAAATAAATACATTTTTTTAAAAAATAACTAACAAGTATTTGTTGAACAAATGTATCAGAATATGGAACAAACTACAGAGAAAATAAAGTCAGAAGAAGGCGTCAAAACGGGAGAGATTCTCAAGCAAGGCAAATAGAAGGCAGAGAAACAAATTTACAAAGGTAGATAGGAAGATATACTCTTTACACAAGGGTCATTACCAAGGAAAAGATGTAAGATCCAGACTATCTGTAGCATAAACATGTTGGGCATCTAATTTCTGTAAAGAACACCAGCAACATGTTTCAGAGAAAAAAGATTCATAGAAGAACTTACTGACACATACATTAAATATGTATGTACAACTGGGTTACCACTTGAGGCAGCCAGAAGGCAAGGCAAACAAAGGGAGTGAGAAGCCAAATGAAATCATCTTAGGTTTTAGGATAAGACAGGCAGAGTTTAAATCCAAGCTCACCATTCGCTAATGGTATAAGCACTGAAAAGACAATCATCTCTGTAAGACACTGAGAAAATGAAGATGCTAATTCTGAAAACTGAAAAGTGGAGTATCTACTTTGCAGAACTGCTTTAAAAATTAAATGATATATGAAAAGAACCTAGGACATGCCTACACATGATTTATTCTTTATAGATATTGTCATTATTACTTTACTGTTACTGTAAACTTTCTGTCCAATAAGGTGTCAGGGAGCTCAATATTTGTGTTTTCAGCCAAGAACTTGTAATGTGAGACATTCATAGATTCTTTACTTTTGTATTTTCTTCTATGTGTGCTTTTCCCCTACCTACCGTTCTTTCAACTCCCTATCCCAAATCCCTAAATTCTAATTTCATCTTAGCAGCACTCAGGAGGAGAAATGAATTTCCCCCACTCAGTCCAGGATAGCTAAATTTCCTGTGTAGCTGTGGTATGGACAACCAGGACCAGGATCTCAGGGCACCAGAAGAGCCAGGATAGAATCCCTGGAGAAGGGCAGAAGAAGGTCATTCAGCCATGATTGAAGTTCTCTTCACATGATTCCCTACAAAAGAGGGACTATACCACATTCACATGCCTTTAGAATACTTCCCAATGAGAGATGATGTCCCCACAAACAGTTAATTTGGTTACACATTACTACTTCATTTGAATAGAGGAGGAAACTTTAACTTTAGGGATATGGGTTTGCCAGAAGGGTCCTTCCAACCGTAGAAAAGGTTAGACATGTCAAAATATTTCATGACATTAATTCATAAGAAAATATGATAACTTACCAGCCAACAAACAGTAGGTGGGGGTTATTATCACTGCTAAACCAAAGTTTCAAGAAAATTTAGTTCCAATGAATTGTTAGGTTGTTAAGCAAAACCATTAAAGTGCTTTGAGTTCCTTTTGAACTTGTTCACCTGCAGGAGGTTTTGTCTGATGGAAACTGGCCTCTGTCACAGGTCAGTTAGTCCCCCAATGTAAACTCCCTCATCAAATACGGATTTTATGTCACCGCTTTAGTTATCAAGTCAGCCGACTATTTTACTTCTGACGATAAACAAGGGAGCCGGGGAGGCCAAGAGTAGAGGAAGATGGTACAAAGGCGAGGTTTCACTTCTAATTTTTGGCCCAGGCTTTCATGCTGAGGACATTGTTTTCAAGGGTTTACAGCAATCTCAGTTCCACAATCCCAGAAAGTAATCTCTCAAGGAAAACGTCTTAAGACACGAGCCCCACCGGAACGTAGTCTAGGGGATACACCAGGTGAAGTCCTGTGACCAAAGGCCGAAAATGGAGCGTGTGCCGCATCCAACAGTGTAGGACACTTGCACGGTTTTGCTCCTACGCGTCTAAAGAATCCGCCGAGAGGACCGGAGAGGAGACAGACTAGCATTGAGTGGTGATAGGGAGCCCTGAGGTGCTGAGATACTCTGAATAGGAGGACAAGGTGTGAGAGCAAACAAGGCCGGAGTCGAAGGAACAAAGGCGCCGTTGGGTTGCAGAATGCAATCTGAGGCGGTTCAGGCTTCCCGGGAGGGTGACGGGGAGAGTCGCGAGCCGGGAGGTAGCCGGGGAGAGACAGCAGGCGGCGCGCCTCCGCCGCGGTCCCGCCTCTACGCAGCCCCACCCCCTGAGGAGGCGGGCCAATGGGAGCCCGGGATGTTAGCGGGTGGGAGGTGCGGCCGCGTTGCTACAGCCAGAGCTGGGCGGCGGCGGGCGCAGCGGGAGGAGTCAATCCGATTCCGAGGCGGTGGCGCAATGGAGGGACTGGAAGGTGAGGAGGTGAGGGGATGCGAGCCGGGTGGCTAGAGCGGTCTTGGCGGCTTGAGGGGACTTTGGACGCCAGGTCCGCGCAGCAGAGGGCGAGTTGGGAGCGGCGGAGCCCGCAGCTCCTGATGGGGGCCAGGGCCAAGCGGGAGCCGGCGGACAGCCCCCGGCGCGGTGGAGCGTTTGGCTCCCAGGCTGCCCCGCCTCAGATGGTCTTCAGCTGGGCTTCCCCGCCCCAAGCCCGAGCCCCAGCCCGCCTCTGGCACCCGCTTGCACGTTCTTTCGATCTTGGCTGACTCCCGAGTTTCCGCTTGGTAATCACAGTGTCTGGCCGGATTTTATTTGGCTTGCAACCTGGACTCTCCGTTAATGTACACGGCGTCCTCCCCACCAGTCCGCCGGGGCCCCTGGGTGTGTCTGCAGCCTCGAGCTCCTGATACTCTCCTTAGCCAGTTTCTCAAAGTAACCGTTTTTCTATTTGTAAGGCGTCTTCAGTCGGGGATGCCAGAGCACCCCCAAAGGAAGTGTCACTGGCCAGCTTCAGAGCCGAGACAATAGATGTCCAAAAGGATTTAATGGCTTATTCACGGGGTCTGTGTAAGGAAGAGCCAGTATTTGTTCCTTATTTTGGGTTTAACCTTGTGTTGTAACCGTGACTCCAGATTTTGCTTTGTTCTCCGTTCTCCCACTTTTTCTCTATTCTCTGTACTCATTGTATCCTGAGTAATGACTGCATTCGCCGAAAAACATGAGGAAAAACAACCAACCGTCATTGGCAACAAGTTTCAAGATTTTTTTTTTAAATTACTGTTTATCCGTCTGATGAAGAGAAGGCATTTAGAATTGATCCTGTTGTCTTGATTTAGCTCTTGTTTCCTCTCTTAATTTACATGGATTCGGGTGCAACTAAGAATGAGCTGTGACATTGCATGCCAGAAAGTAAGATATTTCAGATTGAGCTATAGGTTAAAAAGTGGAAACAGATAACTTTTTTAGTGACGTATGCACACCAGAATGCAAGTGTCATAACCTGAGTGTGAGTCTATCTCATACTTTTGCTGTGAGGTAAAGCTCTCGCAAGTAAACACCTTGAGGATGATAAATAATCACAATTCTGATAATTTTCCATTGGTAGGCAGCTCCAGTTATGCTGTAACCTGTGAAGGTTTTGTTCTTTGCTTAATTTGATTTATAATTATTATCGTTTGCATGAAATAAAGGATTGTAAAGGAAGTACTTCTTATTTTAAAAATATTTTCTTCGAGTTCCTCTGAAGGCAGCTTTTGTTTTTGCCTTGTAATTATTTTAAAACTTTTAATTATTTTAAAAAAAATTAGTTGAGAGGGAGAGAGATGGCTCCAATCCCCTGGTTTACTCTCCAAAATGCTTGCATCTCCCAACCCCACCTGGACCAACGCTGGGAGCTGGAACTCAATCCAGGTCTCCGAGATAGGGGGCAGGAATCCTATTACTTGAGCCATCATCACTCACCTCCAGGGTTCAGACAATAAGAAGCTGGACCCAGGAGTCCAACCCAGGCACTCCTGTGGAACATGAGAGTTCCAACCAGCATTTTTAACCATTGAGCCAAAAAACCCTCTGTTTTTATTTTCTCTGTTAAAAGATTTATCTGTTTATTTGAAAGGCAGAGCAGAGCAACAGAGAGGGAAATCTTCCATCCTCTGATTCACTCCACAAATGGCCACATCAACCATGTCTGAGCCAGGTCAAAACCAGAAGTCAACAACTCCATCCTGGTCCCCTACATGGGCCATCTTCTGCCTTCCCCGGCACTTTAGTAGAAAGCTGGTTGGGAAGTGGACTAGCTTGGGTCTGGAACTGACATGCAAGTTTAGGATATTGGCATCCTAGGTGGTGGCTTAACCTGCCAAGCCATAATACTGCCCCCTTTCACCTGTTTTATTTAAAATACCTGGTGGTATTACAGTAAAGTGGTAGGAGCATTCTTTTATAAGGTTATCCTCTACAGACAAAATGCTTTAGAAGAGCTTGCAGATTTTTATAATAGTTTCAGTGGCGATCAGGATGCCCCCCCCCCTTTAACTTTGTTTTCTTTATCTTTTTTTTTTTTTTTTTAAGATTTATTTCAAAGGCAGAGTGACAGCGAAGAAGAGACAGAGAGATCTTCCATCTACCTGTTGGTTCATTCCCCAAATGGCTGCAACAGCCATGGTTGGGCCAGGCCAAAAACTGGAGCCAGGAACTTCTTTCAGGTCTCCCACATGGGTGGCAGGGGCCCAGGGACCTGGGCCATCTTCCCCTGCTTTTCTCAGACACATTAGCAGGGAGCTGGATTGGAAGTGGAGCTGCTGGAACTTGAATCAGCATGCACATGGTTGCCGGCATTGTCAGCAGTGGCTTTACCTGTTTTGCCACAGCGCTGCCCCCTGCCCATCATCTTTTAAACTTCTCAGATTATTAGGCTTTGGCACTGCCCTTGTAAAACTTGAGAAGTCTCACTCTTTGGTATGACCTTTGATCTAGTAATCAGGTGGGGAATGGTGGGCCTAGGAAATCATTTGGTCTGGCCTTGCCAAGGCAACCACAGGTGGGATTCTAAATTCAGTAATTCTGTAGCAGGCTAATTTTTAAGTTGGTAATTTTGTATGACCCATGAATGATGTTATAAACATCCAAGTGGGGGCTGGCGCAGTGGCTCATTTGGTTTATCTTCCGCCTGCGGTGCCAGCATCCCATATGGGTGCCAGGTCTAGTCCCGGCTGCTCCTCTTCCAGTCCAGCTCTCTGCTGTGGCCTGGGAAGGCAGTGGAGGATGGCCCAGGTGCTTGGGCCCCTGCACCCACATGGGAGACCTGGAGGAAGCACCTGGCTCCTGGCTTTGGATCGGCATAGCTCCGACCATAGTGGCAATTTGGGGGGTGAACCAACGGAAGGAAGACCTTTCTCTCTTTCTTGCTGTCTAACTCTGTCAAATTAAAAAAAAAAAAAATCCAAGTGGCCCATGGCAGAAAAAAGATTCCCTAACTCTGATAGCTGAAGACAACAATCATGTTCCATTGAGGTTTCTGATTTGTTTTGCTTTTCCTTAGTATAAACATTTAGTAGTTTACTGAGTAATTCATCTCTATTAATTTATCCCACATTAATTATTTTTTGGTACTGAATTGGATGCCAGGTATCTTAATAGCAATTCACTTAACCTTATTTTCTCAGCTATATATATATATATATATAATGGAGCTATTTAATATAAACTAGTTGAAGTATGTTGAGTATTAAGTGATGTAGCATATTAAGTACATAGGAGGCCCCCTTAATAAATGCTTATTGGATGGATGAAATTACAGAAGCCATGTTGCAGGCTTTAAAGTGGCACATGTAGGTAAAAATACAGCATGCATGAAAGGGACTGTCTTTCCTCTCCCTAGATAACTATTGCAGGAAGATAGACTGGAGAAAGGAGAGGCTAGAAATACTCTGATGTAATGAGAATTTGAACAGAGGCAAAGGTAGCAGTGGTTTAAAAGGGAAGAAGGAAGATATCTCAGATAGAAAAGTGAGGTATGACTGCTGGACGTGAGAGGGGAAAGGAATCAAAGACATGAGCTTTCTAACTTGTACTAGGAGTTACTGTCTTTAACCAAGTTAGAAGGATAAAGTAATGAGCTTGGTTTTGTGCAGTACTTGAGGATATCTGGTAGGAAAGTCTAGTTCAGTATTTGGAAATATCTACCTGGAGCTTTTAGTTTAGTACTTATCAGAACATATATGCTATCAAATGGATGCAATCCCCAAGGCAAACCGTATTTGATAAGTAAGGAAACAAACTTCAGAGAATTTAATACTTTGGGGGTTGAACAGCAAAGAAAATTGGAGTGAGAGGGAGTCTTTAAAGAGGTTTAAAATTTTTTAAGTAAGGAAAGTGGGGAAAAAACTAATATTTATTGAATAGAAAATATGTGTCAGAAAAAGCCTAAAGAACCTTTTTTTTTTTTTAAAAAAAGATTTTATTATTTGAGAGGTAGAGTTACAGACAGTGAGGGGGAGAGACAGAGAGAAAGTTTTCCTGCCATTGATTCACTCCCCAAATGGCAGCAACACCCAGAGCTGCGCCCATCCAAAGCTTGGACCCAGGTGCTTCTTCCCAATCTCCCATGCGGGTACAGGGACCCAAGCACTTGGGCCATCATCTGCTTTCCCAGGCCATAGCAGAGAGCTGGACGGGAAGAGGAGCAGCTAGGACTAGAACTGGCGCCCATATGGGATGCTGGCAAGCAGGCGGAGGATTAATCTACTGCACCACAGTGCTGGCCCCAAAGCACTTATTCTGAAATACTGCCTTGATTAAACTGCTTAGCTTGTGAGATCTGGAAAACCTGGGTTTAGGAGAAAGCAGTACCTCTGAAGCTGAGAAATACAGCAGTGCCCAGGTTGTAGAAAGATCCAGTAGAATGATGATTTGAAGGAGGGTTTCAGATTTGACAATTAGCAGATTGTTGGTGATCAGTGACATCCATTCTTTAAAGGCTTAACTCTAATGCCTCCTTATTAAAGGGGCTTTCCTGATTGTCCCCACTTCCCAAAGAGCATCCTTTGGTTCTGTTTTTCTTGTTATGTCACTGTCTGACATTTTTAGAGGAATAATTGTTTTAATTATATTTCCTCTATTAGAAAAGTAGACACTCCGAAGATCAGTCTTTGATTATTTTCACCCCTGTATCCTTAACTCTTAGAACAATTCCTGTCTTATGTTTGGTGTTCACCAAATCAGTGGGTCATTTTCAGTGTAGTGTTTAGGCCTGATAAAATCTACAATTCTGATAGGAATTAATGAGAGGAAAGGAAGGAGCTAACCAGAAAAGGTAAGTTGGCATTTCAAAAACTATGCTACTCAGGACATTGATCTTAAATATCTTTTGGGGGTAGAAAAGATTCTTGATGGAACAAGCTTAGGGACATAACAGCATACTACATATCTTTTTTTTAAGACTGAGGAAGATCTCTAAGAGAACACATTTAACTTTGTTTAATCTAGCAATTTCCAAACATTTAATCATGGTACAAGGGATTTAAGGGTGATTAGTGACAGTAGTAGAAATGACTGGTCACATTGAGAGTTCAAACTTGGTAGGATGTGAAGTGAAGCTGGGAATGTAGGAATGAGTTTATTAAAAAAAAAAAATGCAAGTCACTCTAAGATGAAGAAAGTAGTTTAGGAGTGGGTATTAACCCTGACATTTGAGACACCCATGTCCCACATTTCAATGTATGATTTGATTTCTCTCTCCAGCTACTTACTCTTGCTTCCCACCAAGGCGGGCCCTGGGAAGCAAGCAGTGATGGCTCAAGTAATTGGATTTCTCTCACCCATGTGGGAAACTTTGGCTCCTGGTTTCAGCCTCAGTGCAGCCCAGTTCATCGTGGGCATTTGGGGAGTGAACTAGCAGCAGATGGGGATCTCTTTCTCTCTCTCTGTCTCTATGTGTCTGCCTCTTAGATAATAAAAAAAAAAAAAAAAAAAAAAAGGAAGAAAAAGAAGGTGACTTAGAGGTAGAGAGAGCTTGAGTCTTTTGAGAGTTCAGAGGCAGATTTTCTAAGTTGTTTGATGAATTAGAGTGCAGGTGATTAAGATAAAGTAGAAGATGAATGTGTTTGTTGAATACATTAAGTTCGAATATTGAAGTCTCCTAGGATGAGCTGAAAAAGGAAAATTTTGTGAGGTATTGGATATTGTTACCTGAATATAATTAGATTTTGGAAAGAAACTTGTATAATAGATGTTATATGCTTCAAAAGAGGTTTATATAGTGTTGTAGGTTGGATTCAGATGTGCCATGATAGGGTATAAGACTTACCATCATTGCAAAAATAAGTCATGCAGCAACAGATGCCAGAATTGTTATTAATTTCCAAGATTGCTTTTGAAAACATGTCACAGCTATTTGAAATAACAGCATAGTGTCATATCATCTATATAATATACGAAGATATGATTTCCAGCCTTGTCAGATGAAAGTTGTTAAATATGACAACTCAGAAGCAACAAGGTATACTAAATAAGTTTTTTGCCGAGAGTCTGGCTTCTTGAGAGTTCTAGTAAAGTACTTTGTTAACTTGGTCTACCCATCTAGTTTGAATGCTTCCTTTGACAATGTTTCCTCTCTGTAGATTACTCTTTTCTCTAAATATCATCTCTTTTATATATATATATATTATTTTTTTTGACAGGCAGAGTGGACAGTGAGAGAGAGAGAGAGAAAGGTCTTCCTTTGCTGTTGGTTCACCCTCCAATGGCCGCTGCGGCCGGCGCATCGCGCCTATCCGATGACAGGAGCCAGGTGCTTCTCCTGGTCTCCCATGGGGTGCAGGGCCCAAGGACTTGGGCCATCCTACACTGCCTTCCCTGGCCACAGCAGAGAGCTGGCCTGGAAGAGGGGCAACCGGGACAGAATCTGGCGCCCCGACCGGGACTAGAACCCGGTGTGCCGGCGCCGCAAGGTGGAGGATTAGCCCACTGAGCCGCGGCGCTGGCCTCTCATATTTTATAAGCTGAAAAATTTGCTAGCTTTACCCATCTCTGAGAAATTATTGGAGTTTTGAAAATAATATTTTTCATTTTTGAAAATAGTATTTTTCATTTTTGCAGGTTGTGAAGCGTTTGTATATTAACATCTTAGTTGACCTCAACTTTTAAGGCAGATTGAGTAGATGTCCTTATTTGACAGATGTTAAACTGAATCCATATGATTACATACACATTTCCTTCATGTAGTGAAGGAAGAGATAAGGAAGATAGTGAAGGAAGAGCAAGGAGAGAGATAATCATGTGTTTTGGTATAGGTTTTTTCTGTTTCTCAGTTTCCTGTGTAGGCACGTAAGATGGTTTTCTCATCATTAGTACATGGTTCTTTTTTTTATTATTTAAAGATTTATTAATTTATTTTGAAAGAGAGAAGGAAAGGCAGAGAGAGAGGAGTCTTCCATCTGCTGGTTCATTCCCCAAATGGCTGCAATGGTGGCAATGGCTGGAGCTAGGCTGATCCGAAGCCAGGATCCAGGAGCTTCTTCTGGGTTTCCCACATGGGTGTAGGGGCCTGCTTTCCCAGGCCATAGTAGAGAGCAGGACCAGAAGTGGAACAGCCAGGTCTTGAACCGGCGCCCTATAGGATGCCGGCATTGCAGGCGGTGGCTTTACCCCCTATGCCACAGCACCAGCCCCTAGTACGTGGTTCTTGAAGGTTTATTTCACCATCCACAAATGGTTTCATCTTTTTTTTTTTTTTAAAGATGTTATTTATTTATTTGAGGGATAAGAGTTACAGATGGAGAGACAGAAAGAAGGATCTTCCATCTGCTGGTTCCATCCCAAATGGCTGCAATGGCCAGAACTGAGCCAGTCCAAAGCCAGGACCCAAGAGCTTCCTCCGGGTGTCCTGTGCAGGTGCAGGAGTCCAAGCACTTGGGCCATCTTTGACTGCTTTCCCAGGCCATAGCAGAGAGTTAGATGAGAAGAAGAGCAGTTGGGACACAAGTCAGCACCCATATGGGATGCCAGCGCTGCAGGCAGAGTTTCAGCCCACTATGCCACAGTGCTAGCTCCAATTTAATCATTTTTATAGATAACGAGCTTCCTTTTTTTTTTCTTTTGTATGTAACACCAGTAAGAAAGGTATCTTGTTATCCTTGTAGTTTCTTGCAATGTGATCATAAGGTAGGTTTTGTTAAATTATGTGTTACAGAGAGATGGCAGTCACATATATCATTTAATCTAACTTCCTTGTTTTTATAAAAGAGAAATCTGAACCTTAGGTTGAATACTTGCATTTTGCCCAGAGACTCATAATTCTCAGTGACAGAGCTGGTAGTTGAAGTTAGATAATATAAGACAAATTCCAGGGCTTTTTCTTTTTTCATCCTTCCTTTTTTAAAATTAAGATTTATGTATTTATTTGAAAGTTAGAAAGAGAGGGAGAACCAGAGAGAGATCTTCCATTTGCTGGTTCACTTCCCAGATGGCTACAACAGCCAGGGCTGGGCCAAGCTGCAGCCAGGAGCCAGGAGTTTCATCTGGTAGTTCATGTGTGTCAAGGGGCCCAAGCATTTGGGCCATCTTCAGCAGCTTTACAAGAGAGGTGGATCAGGAGTGGAGCAACCTAGATGCCAACCGGTGCTCACATGGGATAATGTCATCATGGGTCGTGGCTTTACCTGTTGCATCACAATGCCAGTCCCCAGATACCAGTGGTTTTTCTACTACACTGTTAGGTCTTTTAATGTATACTGTTGGAACAAAATGTGACTGATTCCAAGGCCTGAGCTATTTGTTCCCAGTAGTTAATTTTTAAATGATTTTGTTTTGTCATCTATTTCATAAATATATATGGAAATATAATTTAAAGCAAGTAGAATATGTAATACTTTTTAACAACTTGTGTTGATCAGTTTTTAAATCACTGCTTAGTTATTTAAAGGAATACTACAGGCAAGCTTAATAGGTTAACCACCCTGTGGCATCACTTTGATCATTTTTAACACATTCTTAATGAACCTAATAGAGTCTATCTAGCAGCTGCCTCAACTTTCTGGATTGTTAGTGGATTAAGTGATACAGGTAATAAGATTGCTCTCCCTAAATAACCTAGTCTCTGCTATTGGAGAAGGACAAATCAGACAAATCTTTCTTTTTTTTTTCCCGCTTCACTGCCACTATAAAGACATTACCTCTCTACCAGTAAAATAGGGCAGTGGAGTACTAGAAGAAGGAAAGAACAAAGATCTTCTGCTACTGTATTTAAATATATTCTCACTGCTGTCTGTTTTGGGTCACCTAGTTAGTTTTCTGTGCACTCACCAAATGTATTGGAACAAATTATAAGGAGTCATATTTGCCTCTTTTTGTAAGCTTGTTTATGTTACTTTAAAAAGAATTTTTCTGATTATCTTTCATGTGGTAAAAAATTTTAAAAACTAGCAAAATATTCAACTGAAAATATGGGAAAGATGTTACAGATTCAGGTGTCATTTTAATAATTATAAATTATGGAAATAAATTAGACTTAAATTTAATCAGAAAATAAAGTGACAAGTTGACTCAGTTGTGTAGACTTCCCCCCAAAATGTTAGTTCTTTTGATTATTTTCATGTTAAAATTTGTGATATCTTGGTATATTAATTTTAGTGGAGGGAAATGTATAACTACCTCTTCATTATTTAGTGGATTATTTAGTGGCTCATGAGATCAAAATATCTCCAATAACTAATATGATGAGTCTTAATATTATATGTGTAAAGTTATGAACATTTGACATAATACAGGATATGCAGTTTGCATAACTGTGGTATTATCCTTAGAGCATTGTACTTTGTATTGTCTGGTAATACACAGAATCAGTGTTATTTATTTTTTATTCTAAACTCCCTGGATATCTCAGGAAGTGATTTAAGTGGACATCAATTAAATTTCTTCATGCCTTGGAGATTAATAAGATAAATGTGGTTTTATATTTACTAATTTATAACAGAGATAATCTGTTAAGAAAATATAATAAATTGATTTCGTTAAAATACTTAAAACTAAATATTTACAATAGTATGTTTAGTTGTCCTTAACTTGCCCTTATTCTGTATTGACCAAAGCCTGTTTTGGTCACTGATAAGTCTTATGTCCATTTTAATTGATAATTTTGCTTATTTCAAAATGAATCGAAGAATTTTTCATAAGAGCTGACAGCCTACCAATAAAACTAAAAGACAACATTAATATTTGAGTTTCAGAATTTGAACAATGGGAAGTACTAAGTTCTTTTCTGTTCTAGAGAATGGAAGTGTTGTCCAAGTTGGAGAATTGTTACCTTGCAAGATTTGTGGAAGAACGTTCTTTCCAGTAGCATTAGTGAGTAAACTGATTCGCTCTTCTTTTGGGGTTTAGTAGAGTTGTAACTATTCCATTCTTACAGCAACCCTCATGGAAAAAAATATATGGAATATTTTCAAAGAGATATTGGAGAGTATCCTTTTTAAAGAGTCTCAGTTCTATCCATGTCATTCTTTCAGCTTACTCTGCAGACTTCGATCTTTAGAACTCCTCTATTAAAGTGTTAAATTATTCCTACTTCTGTGTGGATATTACCAGAAACAGAAAAAAAAACACTTTAGAAATATATGCTTGGGGCCAGCATTGTGGCACAGCCAGTTAAGCCGCCGACTCTGACACTGGCATTTCATGGGGCGCTGATTTGAAGCCTGTCTGCTCTACTTCTTATCCAGCTCACTGCAAATGGTCTGGGAAAATATTGGAAAATGACCCAAGGGCTTTGGGCCCCTACCACCTGCCTCCAAGTGGGAGACTCAGCTGAAGCTCTTAGCTCTTGGCTTCAGCCTGGCCCAGTCTCAGCTGTTACAGACATTTAGGGAGTGAACCAACTGAGGGGCGCTCACTCTCTAGTTTCTCTCTATAACTCTGCCTTTCAAATAAAATAAATCTTTTTAAAAAATATGATAATATGTTTACAGATAGAAAATGATATTCTGTCTGGGATTTGCTTTAAAGTACTTCAGAAAGCAGGGGCAAATGAAATGCATTGCTAAATTGTGTTTAATTATTGAACGGTGATAAGTAAATGGGAGGTCATTATACTATACTCTCAACTGTTCATTAGCTTCAAATATTACAAAGAAAAATATTTTTTTCTGCATAAAAGTGCTCCTAGTATCTTATTCATTCATTAGATACTTTTAAGTATTTAGTATATACCAATAGAAGCACTTTTAACTGATTTTAATAAATACCAGCTAAATAGGGAATAATAAAAACCATGTCTATGTGCCACATACACTTTTATGTAGGATAAAAATATTTCTTTGAGTATGGATCTGCTACATATGGATCTGCAACAATATACTGTGCATCATTTTACTATTTCCAGTTTGTTTCTTAAAAAAAAAGTGAGGAATTTATGATCTAAATTGTCTTTTTGCTTTTAGGCATCTTTAAATAATAATGGCTTTTTTTTTTTTTATCTTTTATTTAATGAATATAATGGCTTTTTGTAACCCTTTAAAAACATCTTGCCCACACATTCAGGTTCAGTGATTTTTTATCATTTCATTATTTTTCTTTTTTTAATGATTTATTTATTTGAAAGTCAGAGTTACACAGAGAGAGAATGAGAGCAGAGAGAGAGAGGTCAGTCTGTCTTCCATCCGATGGTTCACTCCACAATTGGCCGCAACAGCCGGTGCTGCACCAATCTGAAGCCAGGAGCCAGCAGCTTCTTCGGGTCTCCCGCATGGGTGCAGGGGCCCAAGCACTTGGGCCATCTTCTACTGTTCCCAGGCTATAGCAGAGAGCTGGATCAAAAGTGGAGCAGCCGGGTCTCGAACTGGCGGCCTAATGGGACGCCAGTGCTTCAGGCCAGGGTGTTAACCCACTGCACCACAACAGCAGCCCCGTCATTATTTTCCATGAGTTTTCACAGATAAAAGTGCTCTTTTAAATCCCATTTATTTATCTAATATTTATGTAAGTGATGTTGTCACTATAACAACTATAATTTGTAGAATCAAGTTTGGAAACAGTGCATGTACTTGACATACAACTAAATTTATGACAACAGACATGGCTGAGTCTACTAGAAAGTACTGCTAACCTCATTTTTATTACTTAGATATTTTATTCTAATAGCTGTAATTATAATGAAAACTGAAAATAAGTACATAAAACATTGGGTTACTAATTGTGTACTGAAAACATAAGAGCCTCCATGACACCAAATAAATCTGTCTGAAATTTTTTTCCCCAAATAAGGTTTAATAGTTCCAGCTTCTGCAGTGTTGATCAAAGTACAAAAAAAAGTGTTTTTAGAGGAACTGATATGGTGGATCAACATATTTTGTATAGTGGAGACAGAATGTTTATTGATTAATTGGAAGTCAGTAAAGACTGTTTGCATGGTAATGTACTTAAATAAATAAATGAGTTAACAAGTATATATAACCATATATATATTTTTAAGAACCTACAAGAGTGGCACATTGATAGCCCAAGAAAAATCCTCAGTGAAGGGATGTAGAAAGTTTGAGTGCTAGAAAGGAAGGAATAGTATATTAACCAACTCCTGTGCTGTTTCAATTGTGGTTATTCAAAGTACTCCTGTTAAAGTTTGTAATCCTAATACTGATGGGTTCTCCTCCATTTAACATTCTTTTTCCATTATCTGTTCAGATATTTGGTGAAGACTTTTTTTTCATTTAAGTAGCTCTTACTTGGTTACATTGTTTTTCTTATTCTTAATAATGTGAAAAGTAGAAGAATATTTTTAAAAACTCTAAAATTTTTGGAAGAGTATTTCTATATGATTTCTTATGAGAAAGATAATTTAATAGCATTTTGTATATGTATTTTAAAACAATTATGGTAAAGGCAAGGTATATCTTATTATTTAAAATATCATCAGGTCTTTAAGTTGAGCTAAGATTTTTGGACTGATTTTTAAACTGATCTCAGTTAAATAAAATTTTGTAGTCTTCGTTTTTACAAAAAAAATACACTGCATTTCTTCATCTTTACAGAAAAAACATGGGCCTATTTGCCAGAAAACTGCCACTAAAAAGCGGAAGACTTTTGATTCAAGCAGACAAAGAGCTGAAGGAACGGATATTCCAACAGTTAAACCTCTGAAACCTAGGGTAATTATATAATCTTTGGGGTGCTGTGAATTTTGCTGTTATGTATGTTGAAAAATTGATAATTATCTGTTAGACTAAAAAGTGAACAAAATTCTGTGTTATGTGTTCAGTTTAGAAATTGTTAGAAATGGGTAAAATGAAACATTTTATTTCAAATAAAATTTTAAACTGCAAAGGGGAGACCATGGTGCTGTCTCAAATTTCATTTAGAGTGAAGTTTTGTTTAACATTGAGAGCCAATTGCCAGCTATAGGCTGGAAGTAGTTTAAAAGTTTTCACACATTCTTTCTGAGTCATTGCTAGTTATTTCAGATATAAATTAAGGTTTCAACTCTACTGTTTCTGGGCAGTAGTATAACCTCTTAATTCTGTATACAGAAAGTAAAGCAGTTATTCACAGGTATCTTAGCTTGATAGAAATTTATTATCTTGTTTGAGTCTCTGGGGTATTTGTAATCAGCTTCATACTTTTGCGGGGAGAATTCTATCAGTTGTTGAATTGACCACGTATAGCTATTGTCAGCTTATTTTCTTTCTTGGAACCAAGGCAGTGACTCTGCTGTGGTAATGTCCTTAATATCTCTCATTTTTTGTGAAGAATAAATAAATCACTTGAATATTTTGACATAATTTCAACAAGTCATTTCCGTGAAAAGGTGACGCTAAGTACCCAATTGAACAGATTTTTTAGAATGAAATCCTGCTTTCCAGTAGTACAGAAGGAACATTCCCCTGAGGTAGAATTCATCTTACTAATGAAATTATTTGTTAATAGGGAAATTGGATGTTCATCTCTTTCAGTTGTGAATATTAATGGGAAGGATGGTGAAGTCTGAATAAAGTAGAATTTTTGAAGTTTATCTTTTAACCTGCCAGATGTGTGATTTATTAGCTAACGTAGATAAAGTAACCAAACCTGTAAGGGAAATGTAACAAAGTGGGTATGGGAGCTGTCATGAGAGTCAGACTGCCTGGCTGTGCCACATATTATGTTGTTTTGGGAAAGTTACTTAATTTGTTTATGCTTCTGTTTATCTGTACATTAGTGATAATAATGATGTCTAACTTTTGGGGATGTTGTGGAAATTATAAGATTATCCGTGATAATAAATGTTAATTATCCGATTTCTTTGGTAAGTTATACTAAGTAGTCTTTGGAAAAAGCCAAGTTAAAGACCATTGCTTTACAATAGTAGTTATTTGTGTCCCTACCTAAAGTGTGGTCCATGGAGTGGTAATATCAACATTATTTTAGGACTTGTTAGAAATGTAGATGCTTAGGTCCCACCCAAACATACTTAGTTAGGATGTGAATGGGACTAAGTCCTGGGTGAGTTGCATGTACATTAAGTTTAAGAAGCAGTGTCTTAAAAGATTTGAATATTTTGTAGTTCATAATATATTTACCTGTAACAAGAAATCCTACCAAATATCAGGTAGAGTAAGGAAAAACAGCTGTGAAAACTCCACTTTTGAAAAGGTAGGGATAATCTATAGATTATGTATATATTTAGGGTCTGCCTAAAGCTCTTGAGAGATTTAGGACAATCTATCCATAAGACAAAGTTCACAAAGTTTTTGGGAGATCTGTGGCTTTGATTTCGGTAATCTGCCACCATAAGGGTAAGACATTTATCCTTAACCAGGAGACATTGAAAAAGGGAAATAAAGGAATAATACTGTCTCATATATTTAAATATGGTATAAAATCTGAATAAATTAAAAAAACACTATCACTTGGCACAAGATTGTCTGAACAGTGGAACAGAAGTTTAGAAATGGGCCCAACTCCATAAGGGCTAATGGTATGATATACGTGCTGTCTGGGTTCTGTGTAGAGAAGATTCAATAAAGGATTCTGGGACAACTGTGTAGATGTATGTTGTGCCATATACCAGGATACTTCCAAATGATTACAAGATTTAAAATTTTTGTTTTACCTTAGTATGAGATTGGCCTTGGCTACCTAACTGTAACAGCAAATCCAGAGGCCAAAAAAAAGATCACTAAATTAAATTTTAAAAGTAATTCTGCATATCAAAGTATCTATTAGCAAATCAAAAGACAAACACATTGTTTGGACAAGATAGTCTCCTCTGAAGAGTTAGAAGAAATTATTACAATAATGCCTGGTAATACACCAAATAAATTGACTAGAATTATAAACACTTCATAGGACAGGCAAAACGAATGATTTTCAACAATATGAAAAGGTGCTTGATATCACCCATAAGATAAAATTGGGTTAAATCTACAGAATCTACAGAGAGAATACTGTTTTTCACTCTATCAATCATTTAAAAATGCCAGCGTTTTATAACATACCCTTACTATGGGAAAACAGATATACAGTCTTACAAGGAGCATAAGTGGATGTAATACTTAGTCTATTACAAGTAGAGTTGTGTTAAAAATGGCATAAAAATACAATGTGACTGCATGAAGTTTCTTTTGAAATTTTTAGATTTCAGATTAAGGATTTCTGATAATAGAACATTTAAAATGATATTCTATTACCTTGTTTTATTTTGGTTTACTAAAATGATTTTTGATGCTTTTTTTTTTAATAGCCAGAACCACCAAAAAAACCATCTAATTGGAGAAGAAAACATGAAGAATTCATTGCCACCATACGAGCAGCTAAAGGCCTTGATCAGGCACTGAAAGAGGGTGGAAAACTTCCTCCTCCTCCTCCACCTTCCTACGATCCTGGTATATGAGATATTATTGACAGAAATACTAATCTGGACAGATAATATTGATAAGATTTTTATAAATTTTATATGTTATACTTATAATAATGGAACCTTAATGTAGCATTATCTCTAAATGTTTTGCTAAAATATGGTGACAATCCAGGCATCTGAGATTATAAAGAAACACCAGTGTAGAACATAGCAATCCTTGACCTTTTTATCTTAATACTTGTAGTTAAGCATAAAGCATTGTAGTATTTTAAAAATTATAGCAACTAGTAAATGTTAATATGCCAGGATATAATCTAATCATGCTTGCTCTTGAGATGTTGTCATTCAGTAGGTATGATCCAGATAGTTCTGTTACTTTAGTACTTTCTCCTCTGGAAAGAAAAAAGAACCATATTACTTGTTTGTACCATTCATGTGGGGAAACTAGTATGTAGATTGGCTACATCAGTGATGTCTAAGTTCATTTTGTTCATTTTGTTCATTTACTGAAAGTAAAGTAGGATTCTGGTAACCCAGTATGAACTACTGAGATACTGAAAAACTTAGAATACCACCATTTTTTGACATTGTTTATTAGTTCAGCCTAAGAGGTTGTTATTTTATGTAACAGGTTAGCTACATTAAAGTTCAGTTCATACTTTGGACAGGGATTTATTTCCTAGCGATGAGAAAATTGAAAAATCAAATCTTGATGGGTTTATTTTTAATATTTTATTGTAGAGCAAGTTTTCAAACTATTTCCATAAACGGTCAGATAGTATTTTAGGCTTTGCAAACCATAATGTCTCTGTTGTAATAACTTTGTCACTGGTGCAACAAATGAGTCATAGGTAAAATGTTAATGAGTGGGCATAGATGTGTTCCAATAAAACTGTCTACAAAAATAGGCAACTGACAGGCTGGATTTGGCACATGCCATAATTTGCCAATTTTTGTTTTAGAGGATTGGTAATTAACTATACTTGAGTTTAACTTATGTCTCTTATAATTCTACTGTAATTTTCTCCATGAAGTTGAGTTCTCTCTGCTTTGAAGGTATTTAGTATTATATCTTACTTTACATACCTATATTTTCATGTCTAAATAAGTAAGAAAAAATATCAGTTCTTAAGGATAATTTTGACTTTTGAAATTTTTTAATTTTAGGGGATTGGTAAAAATAACTACTTTGTGACTAAAGATTTTTGTCTTATTTCATTAGTAACCAAGAAAGACTTCTGAGCCTTAAATGTGTGTAAATTATAAATATCAAGCTCTGTATACAAAAGTAAACCTGTTCAAGCAAATTAAGATTTTTTTGATGCTGTTAAATTTTTATGTCTATTCCCAGGGTTGAGATCTTTCACAGCTGGCTCTGTGACAATTTCTAGATTTAATTTTAAAAGATATTTTATTTACAATATACTTTGCATTTTGGGAGCATATTTTTATTTCAGAAACATTTGTTGTATCTTAAATTTGAATTAATTATGTTAATGAAGTTTTTTTAAAAGTCATTCCATCTGCTTAGTCTTGTAAGATACAGGTGTTTTAAGTCCATTAAACTGTTTCTTCATCATTTAATTGAAATAAAAGATTTCATAGTTGTACTCACTTTTTTTTGAAACATTTTGTTACATTTATATTGTGTTTTTTGAAACATTTTAATGTTACATTTATATTGTTGTGTTATTGTTCAACTAATTATCATATAAGATAAGCATCCAGATGAAAACATATTCTTTCGATAAAAAGAAATAACAATTTATTATACTTATCCTTTCCTTTTGTTAAGAGGATTTATCATTTTTTTTAAGTTTATGTCCATACTTTTTTTTTTAACTTTTATTTAATGAATATAAATTTCCAAAGTACAGCTTATGGATTACAATGGCTTTTCCCCCCATAACTTCCCTCCCACCCGCACCCCTCCCCTCTCCCACTCCCTCTCCCCTTCCTTTCACATCAAGATTCATTTTCAATACTCTTTATATACAGAAGATCAATTTAGTATATATTAAATAAAGATTTCAACAGTTTGCACCCACACAGAAACACAAAGTGAAAAATACTGTTTGAGAGGATTTATCTTTTATTTTCTTTCCTCCTCAGCTAGAAAAAATTCTTATTTATTATATGCTAACATTAGATTTTTTTTTAAGATTTATTTTATTTATTTGAAAGCGTTACAGAGAGAGGTAGAGACAGAGAGAGAGGTCTTCCATCTGCTGGTTCACTCTCCAGATGGCCACAATGGCTGGAGCTTCACTGATCCGAAGCCAAGAGCTTCTTCCAGGTCTCCCACGTGGGTGCAGGGACCCAAGGAGTTGGGCCATCTTCTATTGCTATCCCAGGCTATAGCAGAGAGCTGAATCAGGAGTAGCTGGGACTAGAACCGGCACCCATATGGGATGCCGGTGCTTCAGGCCAGGGCTTTAACCTGCTGCACCACAGAGTCGGCCCCAGATTTTTTTTGCTTAAGAGTCTTTGCTAACTTTGGATAAGTAATGTTTTTAAATTTTTTTTTTATTTATTTATTTGAAAGTCAGAGTTACACAGAGAGAGAAGCAGAGGCAGAGAGAGAGGTCTTCCATCCTCTGGTTCACTCCCCAGTTGACCACAATGGCTGGAGCTGCACCAATCCGAAGCCAGGAGCCAAGAGCTTCCTCCGGGTCTCCTACGTGGGTGCAGGGGCCCAAGGAGTTGGGCCATCCTCTGCTGCTTTCCCAGGCCACAGCAGAGAGCTGAATTGGATGTGGAGCAGCTGGGACTTGAACCGGCGCCCACATGGGATGCCAGCACTGCAGACCTGGGCTTTAATCCGCTGTGCCACAGTGCCAGCTCCTGGATAAGTCATGTTAAGCTTTTATAAAGAAATAGGTGCTTTTTCTGGCCTCAGAATCAGCCCTTAAGGCCTTCAGATCTGGCTAAAAAGCCCATTTCAGGCATGGAAAGCCAAGACACTGTGGCAAAAAACAAACAAACAAACAAAAAAACAACCTAAATGAAAGATCTCTGTGTATGAGATCCCAGCAGAAAGAACAGGTCATCAAAGAAGGAGGTACCTTTCTCTGAAGGGAGGAGAGAACTTCCACTTTGACTATGGCCTTTCTAAATAAGATCAGAGTTTGTGAACTCAAGAGGCTTCCATAGCCTTGGCAGCTTGTGACAAGAGCCTCAGGTGATTCCTGACGTCATAAATAAGAGTGTCAATTGTTACATCAACAACAGGAGTCACTGTGCACTTACTCCCCATGTAGGATCTCTGTCCTTAATGTGTTGCACTATGAATTAACGGTGTAACTAGTACTCAAACAGTACTTTACACTTTGTGTTTCTGTGTGGGTGCAAACTGTTGCAATCTTTACTTAGTATATACTAAATTGATCTTCTGTATGTAAAGATAATTGAAAATGAATCTTGATGAAGAATGGGATGGGAGAGGGAGTGGGAGATGGAATGGTTGCAGGTAGGAGGGAGGTTATGGGGGGAAAAAGCCTCTATAACCCAAAAGTTGTACTTTTGAAATTTATATTTATTAAATAAAAGTTTAAAAAAAAAGAATGAAGCAAATGTGAGGCACTGTACTGCATACAAAAAATTTGACAATTGTCTAATTATATCCATCATTTGGTGTTGTTTGAATAAAAAGAAATAATGGAAAAAAATAAGTAGGTGCTTTTGCTTATCACATTTACCATATTTGCTTAATATATAAATGTGATACATCTTTAATTACTATTTATAAAAGTTAATGATTCTTATTTTTCATTTCATGTGATTAATCTCTTCCTTTTTAAATCTGTTTTAGATTACATTCAATGCCCATATTGCCAGAGGAGATTCAATGAAAATGCAGCTGATAGACATATAAATTTCTGTAAAGAACAAGCAGCACGTATTAGTAATAAAGGGAAATTTTCTACAGATACCAAAGGAAAACCAGCTTCTCGGACACAGGTGAAATGCTCAATTTTAATAATATCTACAGATAAGTGAGAAAATGGCTCCTGCTTCAAATTCATACTTTTGTGTTTACACTTTACAGAACATTAAACTATAGTCTACTCAACTACTTAAAGGAAATATATTTCTTTAAGAGAGTTAGTAAAGAATTTGAATAGCTAATTGAGAAAAATTTTTTACTCTGAATCCTTTAATGTAAGGAATAAAAACATCATGCATTTCATACATGCAACTTTAGAAACATAATGATTCTGGCCAGCACCGCGGCTCACTAGGCTAATCCCCCACCTGCAGCACCGGTACCCCGGGTTCTAGTCCCGGTTGGGGCACCGGGTTTTGCCCCGGTTGCTCCTCTTCCAGTCCACCTCTCTGCTGTGGCCCAGGAAGTCAGTGGAGGATGGCCCAAGTGCTTGGGCCCTGTACCCGCATGGGAGACCAGGAGGAAGCACCTGGCTCCTGGCTTTGGATCGGCGCAGCTCGCTGGCCGTAGCGGCCATTTGGGGGGTGAACCAACAGAAAGGAAGACCTTTCTCTCAGTCTCTCTCTCATTGTCTAACTCTGCCTGTCAAAAAAAAAAAAAAAAAAAAAAAAAAAGAAAGAAACATCATGATTCTTCCCACCTGATTTGAAAAGGACTTGAGTTAATAGGGACTTGAAGAGAGACTGACTTACAGAACAAAAAAGTAAAAAATAATTGAAAGATGGGTGAATCTGAGTCAGGAAACCAGGGGGGCCAGGAGAGTGAGAAAATGGCAATACATGTCAGTTTGTAAATCATGTAAGTACCTAATGTTTCCAGTAATATGTGAGTAATGTACACGAGGAAGGAAACTCTGGGTTCAGGTTGTAATTGCTGCTTGTGAACTTCTGAACAATTAAAATTTTATGTAATTATTTTTCATCTGTGAAGTAGTAACCTACTTTACATGATATTTACAAGAAGTGAATGAAGTAAAGTGTATAAAAATACTTATAAACCACATACTATACAAGGTTTTGTTATAGGAAATGAATTTTTACAGTACTGTTGTTTTCATTAAGCTAACTGTTACGCAGAAGCATTGATAATGTTAGACTTTCAAGAAAATTTTAGTTTTCACAAAAAATTTCACTTAGGATCTGTTTTTTGAGTGTTGTAAATCTAGCTGACAGTAGACTATTTATCTCTTGTTATTTATGATTAAAGTGTTATCCTAGTATTGAATTTTATATATTGCATATATTGAATTTTTACAATATAGTATATATATTGAATATAGAATATTATTGAATATATCGTTATTAGCATCATCTTTGTTGTGAAAGTACTATTTGTTGAAAAGATTTTTTTTCTCAGTGAATTAATTGCCTGAGCACCTTAGTGGAAAATCAAGTGAATATATGTACATGGGTTTATTTCAGTATAAGCTGTTATGTTTTTTTATATCTGTCCTTTAATAGCACATTATTCCTATGCCAAATATACTATCTTCATAACTATTAAAATCAGATAGCCTGAATTCTCTTATTTTTATTCAAAATTGGTTTGGAGTCTAGGTTGTTTATATTTGTGTATAAATTTTACAATTGACTTGTTAGATGCTACAAAATCGGTGCTCCTATTTGAGATTACATTAAATCTATACATCAGTTTGGGGAGGATCGACATTTTAAGTATATTCATTTTCCAATCCATGGACTTGTTATATTTCCTCTTAATTGAGTTTTCTTTATTTCAGTGATGTCTTGTGGTTTTCAGTATTTAGGTAAAAAAATAGGTCATGCACATTTTTTATAGGATTCCTTTAGTATTCAGTATTTTTGAATTCTCTTATAAATGCAGTTGTGTCTTATTTAATTTTCATTCATTTATTGCTAAGATAGATGTGTGTGTGTGGCTATATTCTGTATAGATATCTATCTAAATATAAATATGTTAAACCTGGTATCTTGCTAAATTCACTTATAATGGCTGCTTTGTATTTTTAATAGGGTTATGTCACCTGTAAATAAGGACAGTGTTGCTTCCTCCTCTCCAAACTGTATGCCTTTTCTATGTATGTGTGATTTATTGTACTGGCTAGAACTTTCTATTCATTATTGGATATAGGTTGTGAGAGAAGACATTCTTTCCTTGTTCCTGTTCTTTTGTGAACACATACTATTGAATGTGAGGTTAGCTGAGAGTTTTCATCTTTGGTTTTTGTCAGTCTGACAAAGCTCTATTCTAAGATTTTTTTTTAAAATATCATAAACAGATTTTGAATTTTGTTGAATGCTCTGTCCGTTTGTATTTAAATGATAATATATTTTTTTCCATTCTGATATAAGTTGTGCTGATTTTCAGATGTTAAGCCAATTTTGTATTCTATGAATAAATTATAATTATAAATTATTCTTACAAATTTTTAGATATATGCTCAAATTTTATTAAGAATTTTTACATCCATGTTCATGACTGATATTATGTAGTTTGTCTGATTTTGATATAACAGTAATACTAGTCTGATAATGGATTTAGAATTCTATTTTGTGGATGAGTTTTTGTAATATTGATATTTCTTTTTTTGTAAAATGTGATATTCTGATGATTACATTCCTTTTTTTTTAAGATTTATTTTTATTTATTTGAAAGCATTACACAGAGAGAGGAGAGGCAGAGAGAGAGGTCTTCCATCCGCTGGTTCACTCCCCAATTGACTGCATGGCCGGAGCTGTGCTGGTCCAAAGCCAAGAGACAGAAGCTTTTTCCCAGTCTCCCAGGCAGATGCAGGGGCCCTAGCACTTGGGCCATCTTCCACTGCTTTCCCAGGCCATAGCAGAGAGCTGGATTGGAAGTGGAGCAGCCGGGACTTTAACCGGCGTCCATATGGGATGCCAGCACTGCAGCCAGCAGCTTTACCCGTTACAATACAGCACTGGCCCAGTATTTCTTTTTTATATACGTTTGCAGGAATTTATCAGTGAAGCTTTGTAGACATAGAATTTCTTTGGTCTGAGGTTTGTGATGACTGCATTAATTTCTTTTGTTGATATATTTCTGTTAAGATTTTCTATTTTGATATCATTTTTGGCAATTTACATTTTTCTAATAGTCTCTTTCATCCATGTTGTTAAATTTATTGACCTAATGGTTTATCTTTTTAATGAATGTAGAATTTATATTAATATCCTCTTATCCTGTGTTGATACTGGTATTTATTGTCTTTTTTTTCCTCTGATTTTTCTCCCTTCCTTAGTCATTCTAACCAGAGACTTATGAATATTATTACATGTTCTCAAAGATCATTGACTTCATTGCTCCAGCATTGGTCTGCCCATATTTCATGAGTATTAATGTGTTTTTTTAATTTTTCAACTTAAGCCACTCTCTGGGTAATTTCCTCTTTCACTCAGTTTATTTTACAGGGAGTCATTGCCTCCCAGATATTTGGGGCTTTTCTAAATAAATTTAGTTCTGTTTGATTTGGGAACCTCCTTGACAAGATCCATCTTTTTGAGATTTATTTTATGATATTGAACGTTTCTCTTTGAGGAGAGTGTTAGATGAATGTTTGTGAAAATCAAATGTACGTTCTGCAGTCATTGGTTGGCAATATAAATGTCAGTTATAAATGTCAGTTAGGTTAAGGTTACTGGTCATTGAGATCTTCTGTGATGTTATTGACTTTCTCTACATGGTCCATCACTTATTGAGGGAAATTTTGTACTAAAATCTTCAACTTTGATTGTCTTTTCTATAACTCTTGTTAGTTTTGTCAGCTTTTATTTAAATATTTTGGGTTTCTCTCAGTTGTGTTTATGATTTGTTATGTGTGTCCTATGCTTTGTTCCTTTAATCATTAATCGTTTTTTCACTATATCCACATTCTTTGTGTTGAAGTATATTTTACCTGACAAGAATATAACCTGATTTCAGCTAAATTATGTTCACTTACTTTGTTTTTGTACTTTAACTTAAATATTTGTTTTTGTGTTGCTTTTAGGCAACATAATTGGCTCTTGTTTTTGTTTTTTAATCTTAATCTGGCAACCATAGCTCGTTGGTCAAAGTGTTTAAACATTTATATTTAATGTAATTCATTTTGGTATGATTGTGTTTAGGTTTGCCATGTTGTCTGTCTTCTATTTGTCATTTATGATTTTTCTGTTTTTCTTGTTTTTCTTAATGTCAGAATGATAGATATTTTTTCTATTGACTTTCTAACCTTTTGAATTTTTTAAGAAGTTGCTTTAGGGATACAAAATTGAATTTTAACTTACTCTATCTGTGGGTATTTCCATTTACCTCTCACCATCCTTAGTGCTATAGTTTTAAATATATGTGTCCTGTGTAGACATTATAAGCCTATAAGAATTCCTTATGTATATTTTTATATAGCATTACACTTTTTAAAAATTCATCTTTTAAATACATTTGGGGAATAAAATAAATATATAAATATTTTTATGTTTATGCACACATATATTTATGATACATGCCTATACTTTGTGGTTTATATTTATTCATGTCTTTATCATTTCCAGACCTCTTCATTATTTCTTGTAAATCTAAGTTGCTGTCACTTGTCATTTCCCTTGAGCCTGAAGAACTCTGTTTAATCTTGTAATAGTGTAGATCTGCTGGCTCTGAATTCTAATTTTGGTTGTCTGAAAATACCTATATTTTGCTTTCATTTCTCTGTTCAGTTCCCTATTTATTCACTGTTACCACATTTACCATGGTTCCCTTTATTTCTTGTGTGTGTGTGTGTGTGTGTGTGTATTCCTTTACTTTTTGAACATATTTGTAATAACTGTTTTGAAGTCCTTGACTACCAAATCTAACACTCATTCCCACTTGAAGTTAGTTTTGCTCAATAGGGGTTATATTTTCCTGTTTGTTTGCCAGTAATTTTGGGCTGGAAAACTGGATATTGTAGATAATGTATCAAATGTAGATTTTGTTTTCTTGCTTTGAAATATTATTTCTTTTTTCTTTATTTGGGGGAGGTGAGCAGCTACCTTAGGCAGTATGGGTTTTTGCATGGGTTCCAGTTTCTTAATCTTTTTTTCTTTTAAAACTTATGATTGTTTTATGTATGAGAGTTAGGCAGCCATTTCTGTCCTTCACCATTGAGTTTATAATTTGTTATTTTTAAGCTTTTGAAATTGGCTGTTGAAGCTGGTGCCACGGCTCACTAGGCTAATCCTCCGCCTCGCGGCGCTGGCACACCGGGTTCTAGTCCCGGTTGCCCCTCTTCCAGGCCAGCTCTCTGCTGTGGCCCGGGAGTGCAGTGGAGGATGGCCCAATTCCTTGGGCCCTGCACCCACATGGGAGACCAGGAGAAGCACCTGGCTCCTGGCTTCAGATCAGCGTGATGCGCCGGCCGCAGCGCGCCATCCGCAGGGCGTCATCCGCAGCGCACCAGCCGTGGCGGCCATTGGAGGGTGAACCATTGGCAAAAAGGAAGACCTTTCTCTCTGTCTCTCTCTCTCTCACTGTCCACTCTGCCTGTCAAAAAAAAAAAAAAAAAAAGAAATTGGCTGTTTCTCTAATTTTCTACCTTTTACAAAGATTTATTTATTTGAAAGGCAGAGTGACACAAAGAGAGAGAGAGATTGAGAGAAAGAGAGAGCTATTTGTTCTTTGCTTGTTGCCTCCCTGAATAGCCAAAATGGCTGAGACTAGGCCAGGTCAAAGGCAGGAGCCTGGAACTCCATCCAGGTCTCCAGTGTGGATGGCAGAGGCCACATGGGCCATTTTCCGCTGCTTTCTCAGGCAAATTAGCAGGGAGCTGGATCAGAAGCGGAGCAGCTGAGACTCAAGACAGTGCTCCAATATGAGATGCCCCATTGTAGGCAATAGCTTTATCAGCTATGCCACAGTTCCTGGCCCCTAATTTTCTACTTCTTATCTTGTAGTTTCTAATTCCCTGTTAATGTTTTCTATTCCACTCATTGTAGTTTGTGGGAAGGGCATTTTGGGTTAATATGCTGCTTGGGACAACTGCATCCCAAATCACAGTATTTAGGTTTGAGTCCCAGATCTGCTTCCAATTTCAACTTCCTCTTGATGTACATCCTGGGAGGGAGCAAATGATGGCTAAGGTCCTTGGATCCCTGCTACTTATGTGGGAGACTTGGATTGAGTTCTGGACATCTGGCTTCAACTGACCCAACCCCAGCTGTTGTGGGCTTTGAGGAGTGAGCCAGTGGATGGGGAGATCTCTGTCTCTATCTCTGTTTCTCTTTCAAATAAAAAGAAATCTAGCTTACATAATTGTTCTGTAATATGTATATATATATGATAATTGTGTGAGGTGACCCTGATGGCTGTGTTCCTGCTATTTTGTTTCCTAATTTGTAGTTGCCTATATACTTAAATCCATGATTACAGTTGACTCTTTGCTCTTCATGACTTTTAAAAGCTAATTCATGATGGTTATTTGTATGAAGTGCCTTCTTCCAGAGAAGGTTTGTGCTTGTAACGTCCAGGTATGTAAGATTATTATCAGTAAAGAAAAATTTTAAATTAAAATATTGGCTTTAATTTGCTTGAATAGCAAATATATGTGTTAGCCAGACTTATTACATTGTGTTGTGGTGGTAATTTGGTTCTCCTTTCATCTGACACTACTTGATTTTTTAAGCTTTCTTGAGCATTTTTAAGTTTTAATTGAAGGGATGGCCCAAGTAGTCTTTTCTACCATTTTACCAGAAATGGATGTCCTCCAGATTCTTTAAATTTTTCCAATTCCTGTGAACACTCTTTGTAATGTTAATATTTTACCAGGGAAATTTGTTAGATTTGTGAACTATATAAAAACAGAAAAATGATAACAAATAATTTAATGAATGAAAATATAATATTGAATGTAAGTGTTTAAGAATAAAATGATCTTGTTTTCTGATCATTAAAATGTACTTATACAATATTGTTGACAGCCAGAGTCATTCTATAAGTCCTTATAATACTGGTAGAATTTCAGCTGGATGCCATGGAATGGCTAGAACACAGCTCAGAAAGGAACAGATCAGATTATTTGGGTCAGGGAAGCGGCAAGATACTGAGAGGCAGGTGAATACATTTTAAACAAGAGCTTATTCAGCAGAAAAACTAACCTCACTTGTTCTTGTTGAAAGTCATAGGAAATGTTACAGGATATAAGTAACTTGGGGCTAGGTTCTAGCGCAGAAAACAGTAAAATTACTTGAATTAAAATGGTAAGAGGTGGGGCTGGCACTGTGGTGCAGCAGGTTAACTCCCTGACCTGAAGTGCCGGCATCCCATATGGGTGCTGGTTCTAGACCCAGCTGTTCCACTTCAATCCAGCTCTCTGCTGTGACCTGGAAGAGCAGTGGAGGATGTCCCGGACTCTTGGGCCCCTGCACCCACATGGGAGACCCGGAGGAAGCTCCTGGCTTCGGTTCAGCACAGCTCCAGCTGTTTTGGCCAATTGGGGAGTGAACCATTGGATGGAGAACCCCCCCACACACACACCTCCTCTCTCTGTGTAACTCTTTCAAATAAATAATCTTTTAAAAAAACAGTAAGAGGCCTAATGAAGAGATGAGGACAAAACACCTTTTGAAAGAAATATTTTGCCATTTTTTGAGGTATCTATAAGCCATTAAGTTAACAAGTTTCTGCTATGTGCATAAAAGTCTTTAGTCCCAGTTATGTAATGCCATGAGCCTCCTTTCAGCCTGTCCCCTGCCTGAAAGCTGGGTCTCTTAATCTGTAATATGTCACACATACATTCTATGTTAATGCTAATTGTTTTGCTCTATTTTGGTTGTTAGCTCAATATAAGTGGATAACCAGTCTAATTTGGTTCTTTAATCTAATTTTATTGTCCCTATTTTAAGTAGACTTACCTTTGATAGTTTGACAAGTCTTTATTAGGTCTTTTTTTCTTTATTGCTGTTTTAAACCTTTCCCAGTTTCTTCATTGTTATTTTAACGGGACTGATATTAATCAGATGTTGTTTTAATCTGGGAACAAAGAAACCATATCTCCATGTGGCTCATCTCCCAAAGTCTCCTAATTATTTGCTCATTTAACAGACATTTACTGAAGTTTTGGTTTTCTATTTGACAAGTGACTTAGAAGATTTTCATTTCTAAAAAACTACTGCAAAATGTGCATGCATTCATTTTTATGACCTTTAGCAAAATTTAGTTTTTAAAAGTTTTCATTTTGAAAAATATTTTACTTCAGAATTATTGTTAGTTATTTTTGGTAGTTGACATCTCAAATTTTATACTACTTACTGATTAAAAAGTGCTTTGACTTTAAAAATTGAACAAAACCAGTTTTCCTGTAAAGTCCTAAACATTCTGATATATTACACGCAATCACACATGCAGGTATCCTTATCACTTTATAGTTGAAGCACTGGCTGCAACGAAGTGGCATTAGTTAAACTCTTGCACTGCAGTTAAGGTGGGTAACCTGGTCATTTCTTAATATCGGAAAAGGTGATCAATCACATTTTTATATTTAGTGAACTAAGCAAAAATTTGACTCAAAAAGATAATGCTGATATCTTTAAAATGTCTTTATACAAGATTAGTGACAGCCACAGTCCTCTCTTTTGATATCTTTTTGTGCCAGATGTGAAAATAAAATTAATAGTGATGTACCTCTAGAAAATATAGAAAAAAAGAGAATAAGCTGAAATATCCAATCTTATATAAACCATTCATCTAATGTAATCTGGTAAGGTTACTGAAGCCAGACTTAGCTCTTTATTCACATTGAGGAAACCCATAATGCAGTTACTATGAAATTTGTCCAGACTGATAGGTAATCTGAATTTTTTTATAGTAGGAAGTACAACTGGATTAAGTATTTGAAATAAAACCACACCCAGGAACATCTAAGAATCTTGACCTTTAAAGCTAGACCATCAAGTGAACATCATTAGGTGTTTCTAAGTTTTTCTGCTGTTTTTGAACTGAAAAAGGTTGCTCTTCGTTTGTTTTAGCTGTACAACTTCTGAAACAAACTTTTAGTCTGCCAGTTTTAAAAAACATATTTTAGAAAACCTCTCTTTGATGCAGCATATTTTAGTTTAGACTTTTTCAATTTGAATAATTCAGTAACTAATGAAAATGTTGAGAGTGTAAATGTTTTTCTTTCCAATTTTTTATTGTGAAATACGTGACATAAAATTTACCATCATAACTATTATTTCAAAAATTTATATTTATTTGAGAGGCAGAGAGAGAGAGAGAGAAAGAAAGATAGCTTCCATCTGCTGATTCACTCCCCAAATGCCAGTAATGGCCAGGATTGGCCAGGATTGGCCAGGCTGAAAGTTGGAGCCAGGAACTCAATCGAGGTCTCCCACATGGGTGACAGGGACCAACATACTTGAGCCTCATCTCTGCCTCTGAAAGTATGCGTTATCAGAAGCCAGATGTCAAACACAAGTATTTCCAATAGAATGCAAGCATCTTAACTATTAAAGCCAAACACTTTACCCTTAACCATTTTTAAACGTACAGTTCTGTGACATTAGATAAATTTGTAATAGTTTGCAAAACCATAATCACCATCCACTTCTATAAATTTTTATTTTGTAAAACTGAAGTTCTGTACTCAGGAAATGTGAGCTTTTATCTACTAGTTTACAGTCCATAATCAAATTATATTGATGAAATATTTTCTTCTCTTTATTTTAGTATAAGCCACCTGCAGTTAAAAAGTCAAATTCTCCTGGAACCACATCATCAGGATCTTCAAGATTACCGCAACCAAGTAGCACTAGCAAAGCTGTTGTAGGTAATAAGCTCTGTAATTTGACTTGCTGTTTTTAAAACCTATGTTGGTAGAGGAGGAGATGAAGATAATAGTCTATTCTGGATTACTAAATTTATAATTAAAAGACATAGAGAAAAATAATTCTATTTGAGTGAAAGTAAACTACCTTTTAATAGAGTTTCTATTTTAGGTATTTTATCATTATTTTAGCTTAAACATCTATCTCTGATGCTATTATTGGGGTATTATCTGTTCCAAATAGTCAGCCATGTTTGTTGTTGTTTTTAAGATTTATTTAGTTATTTATTTGAAAGGCAGAGAAACAGAGATCTTAGATCCACTGGTTCACTCCCTAAGTGGTTGCAACAGCTGCTTCTGGGCAAGGCCATAATCAGGAGCCAGGAGCTATCTCCATTCTGCTGCCCAACGTGGGTAGCAAGAGCCCAAGTACTTGGGCGATCTTCCACTGCCTTTCCACATGTATCAGTATGCAGCTGGATGGGAAGGGGGGCATCCCAGACTTGAACCAGCACTCCAGTATGGGAGACTAATATTGTAAGTGGCAGATTAACCCCCAGTGGCACAATTCCAGCCCCAATCACATGGTTTTTTTAATTCTTTGACCACAATATTTTCCCCTCATTTCTACCTCAGTTCCTCATACCTCTATGCACTTGACAATTTATATTAATAAATATTTAATGCTTGTGATGTTTGAAGAAGGTATTGACCACTAAAATATACTTTAATTTCTGTGTAATTCTAAAAAAGAATTTTTTAGAAATTATAAATGAATGATGCTGCATTTTGTTCCTTGGAAATACCATTTTTATAAGAATTTTGTTAGTCAATTACTTTTGATTATAGCCACAAAGAGTACCACTGAAGAATTATTTCCTTGTCAGATGCTCTGCTTTATATTTTCTGTTTATTTTCTTTAGAGTATTGTTAAAATTAATGCCCTTTTTATTATAAGGTATGCCTTCAGGTAAAGTGTCTTCAGTTAACAGCTCTTTGGGAAACAAACTTCAGACCCTATCTCCCTCTCATAAAGGGATAGCAGCCCCTCATGCAGGGTAAGTCTACACTGAATAATTTATTTGTGAGCTATATTTAAATCATATTAAACTTTTATTTTGTTAAGGTAATTGGTTTTAAATTAAACTTAATTTTGTTTTTTAGCACATTGCTAGTCAGGAGCTCACTGCTGCTGTTGAGAATTCAAATTCATATAACCATTTTGTAAACAATCTGATGACATTTATCAAGAGCTCAAATTTTTAATGGATTTTATTTCTGTGGCTCTAGTTTAAAAGTAGTAATTGAAATATAGATGGATTTCATAATAACTAATTCATTAAGCGCTATGTATCAGGCACTGTGCTAGACATTTTGCATATATTTTTGTTAAAACTACCCCATGACCATAGGAAAAAAGAATCAGAAAAACAATAATTTATTGACATCTACAAAGCTTTTAAGAGTTAGAAGCAGGATACAAATTGAGATCTATTTTGCTTCAAATATTGGACTCTTCACATGTTCTGTTATAATAAAAAAATTGCCTAAATGTCTAGCTTTGTTGAATATTACAAAAATCTACAAATATGTATGTATATTTGTATATTCTAACAGTGTAATCCTACTATAGTAAGAGAAAAATGTAGGATAAAAAAGACTTTATATACTATGATGGAAAATATAAATGTATGTGTACACACAAAAAAGAATTTGCTAAAATATTAACAGTAGATGATTTTTTATGCTGTTTAATACTTTCTCCAGTTAAGTACACATGGTTTTTAATGAAGTCACATAATTAAACTTTCAGTAATCCGTTTAATATGGGAAAGATTGTTAGTAGCCCTAGGTTTGTCATAGATGACCATCTGTTTTTAGAACTCGCACTTCCATTTTGGTAAATCAGACAATTGAGATCGTCACAAACCTATTATAATGAAAGCTTATGCCTATTTTTACATATACTGGTACAGTTAACTAAGTAAATATAGCCCCATGTTATTTTTGAGGATATATCAATTATCTGTGGCTTTCATTCACTTTGGTTTTATGTAGAAAATTTATACTCATGCAAGGATATTTATCAAATAGGATAATTACCTTTTGTTTTTCAATGCATATCATACAGAAAAGGCAAGACCTACAAGGAGTTTAATGTAATTATCATTGTTGAAAAAATAACAAGACTGGATGAGTTGAATTTTTTTTGTGTGTTCCTCTAAAAAGAAGAGATAGGCTGTCTGCAAGAGAGGTTCATTATGGGTAGAATAAGTAGTTTAAAAATAAAAATAGAATCATATCTTCCAGTGGTAAACAAAATTGCTATTTCTTTGTGTCTCTAAGTTAACTCATTGGACCAAAGTGGAATATAAATATAGCAATTTACTTTACAAAGCTGTTTTGCCATATCAGAGAGAATTGCCTTCTGTTAGATTATAATATTTTTTGAAGTGTTGTTTATTATCTCAGTTTACAGTTGATTATGAATTAAAAGCCAGTATTGTTCAGGAGGGTTTCTAACTGCTGAAAGGAGATTGATAGTGTTTGTCACTGGCCTACATATTTGCTATATTAACTGTAATGTTACTATAGCATATTGGAAACTTAGCTGACTTGTTAGTGGCAGAGTTCATTCCTTTTTCAGAATTCTTGAGTTAATGATTTATTTGTTTTCCTTGCTGGATAAATGTTCCATGATGGCCGAGAGAATGTCTGCCTTGCTTTACAGAAATAACTAGAGAATCGTAGAATCGTATATGTAGTCAGCAATACATTTTTGGTGAATATGTGAAAAATAAGGAACTAATTAAATCTCTCATCTGTAAATCTGTTGGCACATCATAGAATTGTGGTCTTGGTACAAGTGAAAGTTTTACTTGAAGTTTATATAGCAACCATTTTTTCCATTTACACAGTTGATTCAAGGTTGATTGAAAGTAGAATTAAGGTATCTAGTTAGCTGTCAAGTTCAAGAAATTAAGTATCTGCTGAGATCAGTAAATGATATCATTTCTCATTTTCTTGTAATTGTTTACAGTCTGATATACATAATATTTATTATGGTTCACTTTAATCAAGCATGCTAGTGATCTGAAGTATTTATCATACTTGCATAGAAAAATTTATCTTTGTACTAGAAAAAAGTGTTCATGTTTGGTAGTTAACATGTAGACAACCTGTGGATCAACTGTAACTAATTTTTTTTTTTAAATAAACACACCTTAGTGGAAAAGCTTCCCTTATTAAACAATTACCTTTAATCCTAAGAAATTTTAGCAATATGAGGCACAGAGCTTTTATATAAATATGGCAACATTTAAATTTTGTCAAAGAATTTACACAATTGTGCCTTGAGAATTGTGGGTTTTTTTGAATAGGTTATAAAAATTATTTATTTGATTGGTTTGAAAGGATGATAGAGATCTCCTGTCTGCTAGTTCACTTCCCAAATGCCTGCAACAGCCAAGTCTGGATAACTTACAAAGTTACATCAGGTTTCCCGTATGGGTGGCAGAGACACAACTACTTCAGCCATCTCGTACTGCCTCCCAGGGTGTAGATTAGTAGGTTGCTAGAATTGGCAGCAAAGCCGGACTTGAACCCATGTACTCGAATATGGTACATGGGCATCCCAAGCAGCCTTACTGCTGCACTAAATTCCCACCCAAATAAATGCATTTTTTAATGGTTAATTACCAGTTCAAATGGATATTTTGGCAGATAATTTTCAATAGCTAAAACATTGCATGTCAAAGATTTACTTCTGTTCAATTACTATGAAAAACACGTTTAGTTTGAATATAATAGATATGGTAAAATCAGAACCACAGAATACATATATGGTACACTTACTTAATTAAAAAACTAAAGTTATTATTTCATACTTAATACTATTAAAATAAATAGGAAATAAAATACCTATAGATATTTAACTACATTTTAATATGATGGAACCTGTTTGTTTTTATTGGTTTTTTGGCTTTGGTAAGCCTGTCTTTTACTATGTGTGAACTGAATATGTGTAGAACATTATTTAGATTTTTATGAATTTTTCTGTCTTTTCTTACGGATCTAGAAGTTCCTTAGACAACCTAACAGAGTCTTGACTATTATGTAGATAAAAATAATTGAAGATGTTGGAATATGGAGTTAATTTTGCCATGGAATCGAGTTAGTAAATTATCTATGCAGCACTCATGAATTTATGATCCGAAGTAGATGTATGACACATTTCAAAACTTGGAATGCCTCAGAGTGTCATAACTACAGAAGTCCACAAAGATGCAAAATAAAACCTGGTAAAAATTTCCCCAGTAATATTTTAGAAGTCATCTTCTAATTGCATCTTCATTTACTATGCTTGCTACAACTATCCACTTTATTTTCATCTTCTAATTGCATCTTCATTTACTATGCTTGCTACAACTATCGACTTTATTTCCTAAGTGAATTCACTCTCATGGTCTCAGCAATAAATGAGAACCTTTCATAGGTTAGCATTTATTTCAGATCAGGAATAGGTTGATAATGTTGCCAAATATTTTATTGTTTTAAAGTTTTCAAGCAGTATATCAATATTGTACAACGTTATGAGGTACCATGTGATGTTTCAGTATATGTGTATGTTGTATAATGTTTAAATCAGGATACATATACTGATCTCAAGTAGTTATTTTTGGTGACAACATTCAAAAATCCCTTCTTCTACCTTTTAGCAGTTATATACAATATGTTGTTGTTGCCTTAAGTCACACTACCTGTGCAATGGAGCATAAGAACTTCTTTCTTCTATCTAACTGTAACTTAATCTCATTAATCAACCTTTCCTGGTTTTTTTTTTTTTTTTTTTTTTTAAGATTTATTTATTTGGAATTCAGAGTTAGAGTCAGAGGCAGAGAGAGACACAGAGAGAGAGGGAGAGAGAGGTCTTCCATCCACTGGTTCACTCCCCAAATGGCTGCAACTGCCAGAGCTGGGCCTATCCGTAGCCAGGAGCCAGGAGCTTCTTCTGGGTCTCCCAAGCAGGTTCAGGGGCTCAAGGACTTGGGCCATCTTCTGCTGCTTTCCCAGGCCATAGCAGAGAGCTGGAATAGGAAGTGGAACAGCTGGGACATGAACTGGCAGCCATATGGGTTGCCCACACTGCAGGCAGCAGCTTTACCTGCTACACCACAGCACCGGCCCCAACCTTTCCTCTTTCTTCCTTGCCTCTCTACTACTATCCATAGCCTCTGATCACTATCATTTTACTGTCAACTTCTATGAGATTAGTTTTTTAGTCGCTGTGAATGATAAGGTCATGTAGTACTTATCTTTCTCTACCTGGCTTGCTTCATTTATCATAAACACCTCCAGTTCCAATCATGTTATCACAAATGACAGTATTTCATTTTTTATGGCTTAATAGTATTTCATTGTGTATATGTAGTACATTTGCTGTATCCATCAGTTGATAGCATTAAAGTTGTTTCCATTTCTTGGCTTTGTGCATAGTGCTGTAATAAAAATAGAAGTGCAGACTTTTCAACAATCTGATTTCACTTTCTTTGGATATATACGCAGTATGGCTAGCCAGAAAAGATGAGGGTTCTGTTTTTAATTTTCTGAGGCACCTCTGTATTGTTTTCCACAGTAGTTGTATGAATTTACATTCCCACTGACAGTTTGTAAGGGTTTCCTTTTTTCCACATTCTTAGCAACCTTTGTTATCTTTTGTCTTTTCGATAATAGCCAATCTAACTGAAATGAGGTAATAGCTCATTGTAGTTTTGAATTGAATTTCCTTGATGATTTCTCAAAGTAGGACATAACACACGACCAACAGGTGCTTGAAAAATCCTCAGTGTCATCAAATACTTCTTTCTTTTTTTAACTTTTATTTAATGAATATAGATTTCCAAAGTACAGCTTATGGACTGCATTGGCTCCCCCCACCCCAGGACTTCCCTCCCACCCGCAACCCTCCCCTTTCCCGCTCTCTCTCCCCTTCCATTCATATCAAGATTCATTTTCAATTTTCTATTTATACAGAAGATCAGTTTAGTATACATTAAGT